ACCAAACTACATTCCCACCAGCTGTTTAGGAGGGTTCCCTTTTCTCCACACCTTCTCCATCATTTATTGTTCATGGACTTTTGAATGATGGCCATTCTGACTGGTGTGAGGTGATACCTCATTGTACTTTGGATTTGCCCTTCTCTGATAATTAACGATATTGAGCATTTTTTCATGTGCCTGTTGGCCATCTGTATGTCTTCACTGGAGAATTGCTTGTTTAGGTTCTTTGTCAACTGGCAGTCTCTTAATTAGTGATTTTTGTGGAAGGATCAGATCTAAGAAATGAAGGTGAAAACATGAACACAATCAGTCTCTTGTGGAGAGACCAAGTTTAGGGCTGGAAGCTCAAATTCTGGGTCCCCACTGCAGCATGGCAATGGTAAACCTACTTAATTTCTTTTTTGGGTCCGTGACGGGAGAGTAAAGACAATGCTGTTTGTTGCAAGGATGCTGTGAGAACCAGTGGAGCAGTGTCTGTGGGGCACTGAGCACCGAAGCGCAGCACCTGGAACAATTAATTGTTAAGTGTCTTTCAATATGGGTTGTGGGGGCACAGGTTCTAAGGGAAACTCCTTTCTGTCTCTGGCATTTTTAAGAAATTCAGACAGAGCCTTAAGGGTATGTATGCACAGTTCTCCTTTTCCACAGGTGAAAAAGTGAACTTACTCTTTTTCCTTTTCTTTAATGTATTTTTAAAATCGATTATTTAAAAAGTAACAACATTCACTGAGTAAATTTTGGAACATACCAAAAAGCATAAAGAAGGAGAGTAAAATGTTAACAGAGATAACCGTTTGTATCGTTACGGTGTATCTCCTTTTACTCTTTTTATCTTTGCATGAGGGCACACACGTTTTTCTTATGAAACTGGAATCATAATACATTATTCTTTGTCATGTAATGTATTGTTAATTATCCTTTGAAATTCTTGTGGTTCTTAGCATTCTACCCATGTTAAACTTGAACTTACTCTCCTGTTATAGTTTGTTATAAATAATGCTACAGTGAAATTCTTACATTTTGTATTTTTTTGGAAAGTATCCTTATGAGATATTCTTAGGAGTAGTGTTATTTAATAAAATACATGAATAGTCTCTTCAGACTTAAGAAATGTGCCCAAATCCTTTTCCAGAAAGATTGTATTGATTTTCAACCCACAAGCAGTGTTGCTATGTTTCCACTTCATCGTGAACTTCAGGTCACCTGCTTTTTTTGTAGCTACTTGTATTTTTTAAGAGTATTGTGGTTTCAGGTCTGTGGTTAAAGGGATTGTCTTATTTACCTGTAAAGTCTTTCTGTATATTAAAGACATTCATCTCTTGCCAAACAGATGGTACAAATATTTTTCCCCATTTGCTTTTCTTTTTTTAATAATACTGTTTTCCTCTATAGTTTTATTGTTTTTAAGCTTAAAATATTTCCCCTAGGATGTTATTCTTTTCATTTTCTAATTGTTTTATATCTGTCTTTTTTTTTTCCACATTTCCCTCCCTAGTAACTGGCTGTGATGTATCAGTGCATTGTGAAATAAAGTAGGTTGCAGCCATCATTTTTCAAAGTAGCAAAGGTAATTATAGAAAAGATCAGTGCATTGCACGTAGTTAAGAGTAACTTTTAGAGGGGCATATATATACTGGGTTGCAATGGAAAATGTTTGGGGGTAAGATAGAAGAAAGCTGCTGCTCTCATCCGTATGGAACTATTTTTGATGTATCTGTGAGATGAGGCTCTAACCTGGAGTTCCCCTGCATCAGTTTCTTCCACACTGTTGAATACTCTACTATGGGCTGAATTTGTGTCTCTCCCAAATTCATATGTTGAAACTCTAATCCTGAATGTGGGGCCTCTGGTGGGTAATGAGTCATGAAAGGGGAGCCCTCATGATGGGATTAGAGCCCTCATAAGAAGAGACACAGCTTGCTTTCTCTGCCAGCCACTGTGTGAGGAAGCAGAAGACTGCTGTCTGCAAACAGGAAGCAGCTTCTCACCGGGTGCCAGATCTGCCGACTGCTTCTCAGCCGTCAGGACTGTGAGAAATAAATGTTTGTTTATTATTGTCTAACGTTTATTGTCTAAACCGCACAGTCTGTGGTGGTTTGTTACCAGCAGCCCAGATGGACTAGGACCCTCTTTTTCTCTCCCATAGACTTGTGCTTGCTTTGCCATAAGGTAGGTCTGTTTCAGTACTGTCTGTTCCATTCCATTGCTCTCTCTTATTGGGCTTTAGAATTTTTCTTTTAGGTGGTATGTTTATACCTCTTGGAAATATTTTCCTAAATTTTTTTTTGCCTTTTTATTCTCCCATATTACTAAGGGAAGATTCTTTGGTTGCAAGAAAAACTTAACTAGAGGCAGCTTAAGCAAAAAAAAAAAAAAGGAAGAAGAAAGTTTCAAAGAATCTGTGTAGTAGGCGGAAACAGCGAGGCCTCAGGAAGGGATTACAAGTGGGAGGGGCAGAACCATGGGTCCGCCCATGGTCCTTTATCTACTACCTCTACCTCCTCTCTGCTTTCCCGTCCCGTCTATGGTTATAACCCAGCCACTTGCTGATTCTTGGGAGAGCTGACTTTCTCTGCTTCTCCAGATCCTCTCTCCACCTTTCTCCATCTGCTCTACACTCTAAGTGATCAAGTGTTACAAACTGCATCAGCCCAGCCCCCTCGCCTGGCTTCTGGTTGGGATCAGCAGATGGGTGATACTGGCAAGAGCTGGGAGGGTGGGAGGGGAGGTCTGAGTATTCGTTCCCCTGGTGAGCCCTCTGTCAGGCTGTGGTTTGGCTGGGGCTGCTGTGTTCCTCCACCTGTCTTAACCCTGCCTGGAGTCCGTAATAGTTCCACCCCTCTTTGTTTTTTTGTGGCTTCCGTGTGTCGGTTTCTTTCTTTTCTTGTCTGTCCCAGAGTGCCTCACCCTCCTCTGTTGGTTTCCTGAACTCTACCCAGACCTCTGCAAATAGTCTTTCTCTGAAACACTCCTCAGATACCCTGTTTGAGTGTGTCATCTGTTTCCTGCTGGGAGCCTGAACCAGTCCACATCGCCCATTCCTGGGAGAGACAGTCTGGCTGCATCTTGGTTCAGGTGTCTACCATGTCCAGTTACCCTGCCAGGGACAGTGTCACACCACACCGGTGACTTCTGTGAGCCCACCCTTGAGACGAGGGCAGCCTTCCTGCCAAAAGCAGAGTTCATTTCACAATGCTGTCTACTTCATAGCTCAAGTATTTTAAAAGATAAATTAAAAAAAATTTTTTAGTGGAGGTACTGGGGATTGAACTCAGGACCTCGTGCATGCTAAGCATGTGGGCCAGCACTGCACTATATCCATCCATCTCATTTAAAAAATTTTAAGTTGCAAGATATACATAATGTGAAATTTACCATTTTAACCATTTTTAAAGTCTATGGTTCAGTGGCATTAAGTACATTCGCATTGTTGAGTAACCACCACCACCCATCTGTAGAACTTTTTCATCCTTTCAACTTGAATCTGTACCCATTAAACACTAACTCCTCTTTTCCCCTCCCCCCAGCCCCTGGCAACCACTGTTCCCCTTTCTATGAATTTGATCCTCTGTATCTCATTAAAAAATAATTTTAATCAGACAAGTAATATGGAAATACTTTTAAAAAAATTTATTGAAGTATAGTCAGTTTATAATAATTGTATCAATTTGTGTTGTACAGCATGTTTCAGTCATACATATACATACATATATTTGTTTTTATATTCCTTTTCATTATAGGTTACTATAAGATATTGAATATAGTTCCCTGTGCTATACAGTATAAACTTGTTTAACTATTTTATGTATAATAGTATCTACAAATCTCAAAGAAATGTATCTGAACTCCTAATTTATCCCTTCCTCCCTATCTTTCCCCTTTGGTACCATGTTTATTTTCTATGTCTGTGAGTCTATTTCTGTTTTGTAGATAAGTAGAAATTCATTCTTGTAAAAAAAAAAAAAAGGACAGAACTTGACATATAAGGCTATACTAACTTTGCCCACCATGTCTGATCCCCTTCCTCCCTGCTTGCAATGGTTATATGCAGAGCTAACCACTGTTATTCTTAGAGTCTGGATTTTTCCAAACCCTTCTCTATGCATTTGCACATACACAAATGTGTTCTTAGGAAATAAGTAGTTTCTTTTCCCCCACGTAAATGGTATACTGTAAGTAGCATCCTGCAACTTGAACTTGCTTTTTATTACCCAGTGTATCTTAGAGGACTTCCAGCTTGGTAATGTGGAACTGCATCAGGATCAGCTGGCGGGCTGGTGAAGGCACAGGTAGCTGGGTCCCCCCTAGTGTTTCTGAGTCAGTGGGGTGGGGAGGGGCAGGGAATGTGCATCTCTAACAAGTTCCCAGGTGCCCTTGACGCTGCTGTTCTTTGAACGTACTCCCTTTTGAGAACCACTACAGTGATTTTAAGCTGTTAAATCGAGGTTGTCTCCAATTTCTCAGAAAAATAAAGAATGTTGTGGTGACCTTGTTCATGCTTCTTGTCCATATGTACCAGGGTCTTCCTGGGGTGTGTATCGAGAAGGAGAATTCTAGGTCACAAAGTATGTGTACCTTAAATTTTAGTAGATATTGTCAAATTGCCTAACAGTATGACTGTCACAGGTTACAGAGGAACTTTCAAATAATTTTCTCCCAAGTTAAAGAAAAAACCTGATGAGAATTTTGATAGGATTTGAGGTAAACCAACAGATTAAGAAAATGGATTTCATCATGGAATATTATAACATTAAAATTTGTGTTTCTCATTTGATATGAATATAATATGATTTTTAAAAATTGGGAAATTCGACCTCCTTAGGTTGAGGTAGTTCTTTCGGAAGTAATGATCTAGTTGCTTCTTTAAGAATGTGCATCTCTCTCTCTCTCTCGCCTTCTGAGGTGGCCTGCACTGTCTATGGATTGTATATCTACCTTTAATACCCCCTCACCCCACTATGTAGTTCTCTCAATATAAGTCTACTTTTACTCAACTGTGGCTCGCTCTCGAATTCTTTCCTATGTGAAGTCAAGGACCCTCACTTGGCAGGGAATGTCCCAGGGACTCAACTGAGACCTGGGACACAGCCATCCTCTCACTCCACCACCCCCTCCTCCTCTTGCTTTCTTCCTGTACCATTTTTGGCAACCATGAAGGGACTGAAATAAAAAATTGGCTTCAAAGGGCATAATCTCGATCTGCCTTTAGGGCTATTGCTCCCCTCTCCCTGGATGGTGGAAGAGGGTTTCTCCCACGTCATGCAGATTTAGGCAGCCCCTTAGGTGGCATCTGGCGCTGCCTGCAGGATCTGACAGAGACTGATTCTTTAGCTGTGAAGGAGCCTACCAAGCCCAAGACTTTTCTCTCCTCAGTCTTTTCTCTTTTCCCCTGTTGCTCTATCTCTTTGGACTCTAGAAGATCCAAGGAGGTGAAGACTCAGACATCCAAATTAAGACCGCATGGCAAGAAATTGACCACCTGATTGGGTGAGTTTCCCCTCTGGCCCCTCGAGCCCAATTCCTCCTCTCTACTCTGAACCCCTGTTTGGAATTTGTTGGCGGGCACTCTCTTCACGGGCTCATAGGCTCACTGGGCCCCTGGGTGGAAGTTGTTGGTGGGCACTCCCTGTAATGGGCCTATGGATCTCTACTCCAGGAAGCAACATGGTTGTACACCTTCCTTCTTTGCCCTGGATTTCTCTCATATCCTCCTGTGTCCTGACTTATTAGACTATATATTAATCTTTGAGCCTTCTTGCCTGCTTTGCCAGCAGTTTGAGTGTTGCCTCTTTTACTTCTGTGAACAGGTGCCCCTCCTCAGCATCACATGGACTGTATTCTAAGGGAAGATTTTGCCTTGCCTTGTGGCCCTCCAGCCCTACCCTTCAGCTCTATTTGTTTCTTTTTTCTTTCAGATAAAGGTAATCCAATTTAGTTGATTCAAGGCCTAAGTCTCTCTCCCTCTTTAAAGAATTTGGGCCCTGGGGCTCTGGTCACGTCCCCCCCCACACCTTGCTCCTCTCCTTGCCTCATCCAAAGGAGCTATCTCAGGCATGACATCCTAACTAAAATGGGGGTGACCACAAGCATCCCAAAGGACTCCCCATTAGGATACATATTAGTTAATTGGGGGAAATTTAGGATAGTTAAGGAAAAAGAAATTAACTTTCTTTTGCAATACTTTATGGCCCCAATACAAACTAGGACCAAGAGTTCTGGCCAAAAAATGGATCATTAAATTACAGTACCATCTTGCAGCTGGACCTGTTTTGCAAAAGGGAAGGTAAATGAGGGGAGGTCCCATATGTCCCAATGTTCCTGACCCTGTTCCAAGACCCAGGTCCAAAGAACTCCTGCCAGGTATGCCTGGCTCACGTCCCCTCAAAGTGCCTTCCCCCATGGGAGCTGATGTTTTAGATGACCCTCTTATGGGTCCAGCTCCCCATGCTCCACAGCTGGGAACTCCTACCTCCCCCAGCTCTGAGCGGGGGACAGTCTTACAAACCATCTGCCCCTAATGCCCCATCTGAGCAGCTGGGGTCCCCAGACCCCCATGAATCAGCTCATGAATCTGGCATTTGGAGTATTTAACAACAGAGATAGGGTTAAAGCATTCAAGGACAACAACGAAAGACAATTCTTAGCAGCAGCCCTAACCCTTGCACCACCTCAGGGTTACCCTCCCTTCTGTTTTATACTTTATTTTTATTTTATTTTATTTTATTTATTTTTTTGAGAGGGGAGGTAAATAGGTTTACTTATCTATTTTTTTTTTATTTAACGTAGGTACTGGGGATTGAACCCATGACCTCATGCATGCTAAGCAAGCAATCTACTACTGAGCCATACGTTCCCCGTTAACCTTCCCTTTTGAAGACCCATGGTGAGGACAGGATCCAGGACACCTGGATCAGAGCCACTGCTTCACCAAGAAGGGACCTGTTTTAGTGTGGCCAGGAGGGCCACTGGAAGGATGAACGCCTCGTGTATGGAAAAAGTCCACTGGGGCCCTGCCCAATATGCAAACAAGAAGGCCACTGGGAGAGGGATTGCCCCTAGTCCCAAAGGGGGCTTGAGGCTTCCAAACCATGATGGCTGAGAGGACCGAAGACTGATGGGGCCTGGGATCCTTTCTGGCTCCCAATGGACACCTTGTCATCTCTCTGGAGGAGCCTCGGGTAACCCTTGACATGGGAGGTAAGAAACTTGTCTTCTTATTAGATATGGGAGCCGCCTACTCTGTGCTAACTGATTTCTCTCTCTCCCTCTCTCTCTCTCTCTCTCTCTCTCTCTCTCTCTCCCCCTGCTTCCAAGATGGCCCGCATTCTGTCTATGGGGTGTGTAGAATGTCTCTGGGATTGGGGTGATGGCAAGTACACTGTAAGGATGGGGATAAGTTAAACAACTAATTAGAATACAAGATGGAATGAAGTGAATGTCATTTACTTCAAAGGTGAAGTGCTGGAGGCTACAATAAAGGAGAGATTGATCTACTCACAACCTGGAATTGGAACTGAGGACTTGAGTACACTGACCCAGCCTTGAGGGAGGCCTTCTAGGAAGCAAAAGTGATTACAGTTAGTGGCAAATAGATGCTTAATAGGTGTGTTCTAAAAACTTGCAACTTGAACACTTACAACTGAGGTCCTTGATTCAGCTAAGCGGCAAATTTTTCTTACGTGTCCCCAAATGGTCCTTTCTCCCTTATTAGGCTTTCTGGGTCTAGAGCACACATGTGTGTGCTTCTTGCTTTTGCTGGAATTTGCTGAGTTTGGAGGGTGCACTTAGCACCTGGGCGCTGTCATCACGTTTTCTCTCATCCTCATCAGGCTTATCCAGATTGCCTTGGCTACTGCTTTCTCAGGTTAGAAGGACAACGGCAACGTAAGAAGCAACCACTAGGTGCCAGCCTTGCTTTGTGCAAAGTTCTTCTTGTCACAGACCAGGCATCTTGAAGAAAGCTGCTCTTCCTGTGTAACCCCCCTGATGAGTGGGGGTGTGTTTTCTGAACCCCACTGTTTCAGCTTGGCCCAGAGAAACTGAGGTGTTTCCAGCTCTCTTTCTTTTCTGGGGTCTAGGTCCCAAAACAGAACCTTGATGGTCTCTAGCCCAGAAACATGCATCATGGGAGGGACCAAAAGTGAATCCCGACTTAGAGGAGATTGAGTCTCCAGGCTGTGGGCTGGCACCTCTAGGTACACAGATTTGGGCAGTGCCCATGGAACAGGCAGCTGGTCTACCTCCATCCTTCCTGGACCCACCACACCCTCAACTGGACTACAAACAGCGGCCTGAAAACGCCCAGCTGACAGAGAAGCAGCAGCAGCTCTTAGTCTCTAAGAGTCACTGAGCATAGGAAGCTTGAATTGATGTATCCCTTTCTGCATTTCCTTCACAAGTGAAGTAATAACAATAAAGCCAAAAATCAGAGAAAAATCACAATACCATACACCAGCTGCATTGATTTTTCCAGTAGATTTTGTCCGTAAAAACCATGATTTTACATTATGTCAATGACAGTGTGGGGGTAAATTTTTTTTCACTTCTTGTTCCCCCTTATGACAATTTCAAATATACACAAGTTAAAACAAGAGTATAACTCTCTATGCACACCACTTAGGTTAAACCATTGTTGATATTTTGCTTCATCTGCATTTGCGTGCATGTATTTATTTTTGCTGATCTTTTAGAAAGTAAATTGAAGATGTCATGGCACTTTACTCCTAAATACTTCAGTGTGTACCTCCTAAAAATTATCATAGTCACAATACCATGTTACACCAAAAAATCAAACAGTAATTCTCTAATGTCATCCAATATCCAGTTCACTTTCAGTTTTTCCCAGTTGTCCCCAGATATCTTCTATAGTTGGTTTTTTTTCAAACCAGGATCCAATCAAGGTTCACTCACTGGATTTTGTTGTTAAAACATCTTTTTTGTTTACTTTTGCTTGAAGACTTTCTCTTCCCCTTCCCCTCCTTAGTTTTTTCTATGACATTGACATATTGAAGACACCAGGCTAGCTGTCTTGTAGAATGAGCCACACGCTTGATTTGATTGTTTCCCTGTTGTGTGTTTAATTCATTTCTCCCTGTATTTTCTATAATCTGGATGTTATATCTCAGTGTTATCCAGTAGAACTTTCTGTAATGATGAAAATGTTCTCTGCAGTGTCCAATATGGTAGTCACTAGCCACATGTGGTCACTGAGCACTTAAAATGTAGCCAGTGTGGCTGAGTAACTAAATTTTACATTTTATTTAATTTTTATTCATTAATTTACATTTAAATAGCCACACATGTGGTATGGAACAGCATGGAGCTTAAGGATTGATTAGATTTAGATTTAATAGTTTTGATAAGACATCAGAGGTGATGCTGTATACTTCATATTGCAGCCCATCAGGAGGTGAGAGAGTGACACCTTGTCCCATTATTAGTGATGGTATTTTTTTAAAAACCCTTTATCGAGGTATAATTTACCATCAATAAAAACATTTTAAGGATACAGGTCAATAGGTTCAACAAATGTTTACAGCTGTATAACCAGGACACAATCCAGATATAGGAAATATTCAGCACCCAAAAGATTCCCTTGTGCATCTTCCCAGTTAATCCCGGTATGCCTCCTCCCCACAAATCTGAGGCAACCACTGATATGCTTTCTGACACTATGAAATAGAGGTATTTCCAAGAGCTTCCTATAAATAATCAATAAATGTACTCTTTTGATTCTGAGTTTCCAATGAAGGATACTCAACACAATGTTTTTGAGATTTATTGATGTTTTTGCATGTACCTATAGTTCTTTTTATTGCCAAGTGGTATTCCATTGTATGAATGTGCCACAATGTTCTTCCTTTCTGTTGGTGATTTGGGTTGTTTCCAGTGTAGCACTGAAAGCTGAACCTTCCTGTAAGTGCTGCTTTAGCTGCACCTGACAAATTTCGATAGGCTGTGTTTTCATTTTCATTCAATACAAAACATTTTCTAGTTTCTCTTTTCCCTTGTGAGTTCTCCTTTTTAAAAATTATAGTTGACTTACAATACATGTGTACAGCATAGTGATTCAATATTTTTATAGCTTTTATAGCTTTATAGTCCATTTAAAGTTACTATAAAATTATGGCTATATTTGTGAGTTCTCCTTTGACTCATGGATTATTTAGAAGTGTGATCTTTCATTTCTAAATATTTTGGGATTTTCCAAAGATCTTTCTGTTAATTCCTAAATTAATTCTCTTGTGGTAAGAAAACTCCCTCTGTATAACTTAAGTTTTTAATATTTATTGAGGCTTGCTTAATGGCCCAGTTATATGATCTGTCTTGGTGAATGTTTCTTATGAACTTGAAAAGAATGTGTATCTGCTCTTGTGGGATGGAGTGTTCTATAAATATCAGTTAGGTCAAATTATTTGATAGTGTTGTTCAGGTTTTCTACTTGCTGTGTCTACTTATCATTTATTGAAAGAAGTCTATTGAAGTATGAACTATAGATGTGGATCTGTCTGTTTTTCTTCAGTTCTGTCAGCTTTTACTTCATGTATATTAAGCTTTGTTATTTGTTACATACACCTTTAAGATCATTGTGTCTTCTTGATGAATTGACCTCTTTGTCATTGTGAAATGTCCTTCTTTGTACCTGGTAATATCTCTTATCCTAATGTCTACTTCATCTAATATTAATGTAGCCACTCCAGTTTTCTTAGTTTACACAATGTATCTTTTTCCATCCTTTCACTTTTAACCTACCTGTGTTTTTAAATTTTAAAGTGTGTCTCTTGTAAGCAGCATATAATTGGGTCTGACTTTTATTAGTCTAATTATCTTCCTTTTTTTTCTTGAATATTTTGACTGTTTATATTTAGTGTAGGTATCATTATGATTGAGATTAAATGGACCAGTTTGCTGTTTGTTTTCTGTTTGTCTCATCTGTTCTTTGTTCCCCCTTCTTCCTCTTTTTGTGACATTGGGTTGAGTATTTTTAAAATTCCATTTTATCATCACTATTGGCTTATTTGCTTTACTTCTGTTTTATTTCTTTAGTGATGGCTCTAGGGTTCACCATGTATATCACAATATG